TCTCACCAGCGGGCATTAGCTATCCGTCTTAAACTGTTTGGAGAGGAACATGAAAGCACTGCTGACAGCTACAGGCAACTTGGTGTAACACAATACAACATGCATGACTACAGTGCAGCTCGACAATCTGAAGAGCATGCACTTGCTATCCGTATTAAACTATTTGGAGAGGAACATGAAAGCACTGCTGACAGCTACAGGCAACTCGGTGTAACACAATACAACATGCATGACTACAGCGCTGCTCTACAATCTCACCAGCGGGCATTAGCTATTCGTCTTAAACTGTTTGGAGAGGAACATGAAAGCACTGCTGACAGCTACAGGCAACTAGGTGTAACACAATACAACATGCATGACTACAGTGCAGCTCTACAATCTGAGCAGCATGCACTAGCTATCTGTATTAAACTATTTGGAGAGGAACATGAAAGCACTGCTGACAGCTACAGGCAACTCGGTGTAACACAAAACTACATGCATGACGACAGCGCGGCTCTACAATCTCACCAGCTTGCACTAGCTATCCGTATTAAACTATTTGGAGAGGAACATGAAAGCACTGCTGACAGCTACAGGCAACTCGGTGTAACACAATACAACATGCATGATTACAGCGCTGCTCTACAATCTCACCAGCGGGCATTAGCTATCCGTCTTAAACTGTTTGGGGAAGAACATGCAAAAACCGCTGATAGCTACAGGCAAGTCAAGATCACAGAAGATGCCCAACGAAAGTAGAACAAAGAGAAAATTACAAAAATATGAATAGAACATTTTAAAGCTAAGTGATTCTTCATGTCTTAAAGAATGATGGGTGGGTTGGGGGTAGTGCATTAGCCAAGTCAAAGCTACACTTCGCCCAAGCCCTGTCAGTAAATCGATACTCTATGTGCCAGAGGCTTTTCATGCGTGGTTTTTGGTTTCGGTCACGTTCGTGTGTTCAGCCTGCGGCCGACGAAGCTCCTCGCCGCACGCGAGAAAAACCTCTGGTACCCAGGGTACCTTGTCGAGTAAAACTTTAAAATAACCGCTCAAACACAATTAGAAGAAGGTGTAAATGATACAACAAATACAAAAGAAAGCAGGGATTGATAAACTTGAAGAAGTTTGAAACAGATTTTAATTGTGGTTTTGGAAAACTTGTTGACCTAACAGTTTTTCAAGGTTCCTTTTTGTTGTTTGTAACGATGATGTGTTGGAGACATGAAGCTGTGATTTTGTCTTTCAAAGGTAATTTCTCAAGTTTCATAGCGTAACTGTCATTAGCACGGGACCAGGCTCCGAAATGGGGGAAACAGACGACAGAATTCGAGAAACATGACAAACACGTACGCCGGGTATGAGCCGAGAGGTGAACTAGGGAGGGGGCAAGGGCGGAGCCAC